AATGCATTTGTAGATTAAAATGAATACTTATTTAAGATTTAAGATTTTTAGATTTAAATTAAAATCTCTGTACAGGCTTAACTCTGGAACTACTTATTAGATCTTCTTGATTTTTTTTTAAAACGAAAGAGTATTTCATGGAGAATGTTTATATGAATGAACATTTTAGGAAAATCTACCTGTGTATTATATTATGTTGGTTGCTATCGGTTAATCGGTCATGATTGTTGATTTGTATTATTATTTTTTATACATATATATAATTTATACAATAATATCTGCTAAGTAGTTTCAGAATTAAGTCTGTATACTGTATAGTTATAGTCTGTGTATTTATATAGTTAGATGTATGAATTAATATTTGCGGGTAGATTATACATCTGGGAAGAATATAGGTTAATTTACAGTGTTAAATTTGTTTTTTTTTATTCGTCAGATTTTAGTACTGTTATGATATTAGGATAGGATTTTGTATAAATTGGTTATATTAATCCACCTTTTTTGTTTTCTAAAAAGCATTTACTTGCGGGCGCCAACACTCCCCTTTAATTTTTTTTTAGGAATTTGACTCTAGTTTAATTTTTTGCACAGACTTGATTATTGATAACATGCAGGTTGAATCTGCATTATCATTCTTTAATGAGCTAAAGATTGTCAATTGTTTTTTCTGTTTAAGATTCTGGAGTTTGTAGTTTGAACTCTTTAATGTGTGTTCCTACTGTATAGTTTTTTCTAATTTTTTTTTTGGTTTTCTAAAATGCATTCGCCTGCGGGCGCCAACACTCCCCTTCAATTTGTTTCTTAGGAATTTAACTCTTGTTGAATTTTTTATATAGACTTGATCTTTGATATCCCGCAGGTGCCCTATGAATAATTTTTTTTAATGAGCTATTTATTTTGAATAGTTTTTTCTGTCTAATATTCTGGAAATATTAGTTTGGGCTCTGTTATAAAAAATATAAAAACCTATGAATACATGTGAATAAACCTATTAAACTTCACATACTTAACCATCGTGCCATCGTATAACCATTGAAATTAATTTCTATTTCATCTAGCATTAAATACACCTTAGTAAGATTGATATACAAAATGCATGAACTTACAAGCCCTGCATATGAGTTAAGAATTTTAACCAAGAATCTAAACATCAACAAAAATATAGATGCAATAATAATTTATAAGCTTTTTACCTATTGTAAAGTAAAGGTATACTCTGGTTAAATCTTGATGCCCAGCATATATTTCAGTACCTACTCCCTCTTAACACCTTAATAGAATATTTAGTACATATAATTATTATTTGACAGTAAATATTTTAATTTTTGTTGTATGTGATTGATTACCATAATGTACCAACCACCCAACCCCAACCAAAAAATCCACCATGACGCCTAGGCTTCATAAAATCCCATTCACCACGCCACTGCTCTTGTTCAATGACGACTTTTTCGAGTTCTCCTCGTTTCCACTTCTGGTAAAACTAAATAACCTAGACACAAAAAAAACCGTGATTAGAAATAATATTTTTAAGAATTTATTATTATAGAATTACTAAATAATAATTAATATAGTACAAACTTTTTACGAACAGGTCTATTTTGTTCCCCGTGACTAGTTTCTGTGTTTTTAGTGGGATAATAATTACCATCATGGTTAGTGTAAATAGCTGCTGATGGAAAAATATTGTTTAATGCATTTAAGTCATTAGCCACAATATCATAATAAGTGTTCTCGACTGAACTAAAAAAAAAAAAATATTTATAGTATTACAAAATATATTATCATTATTATATTTAAATTGTAATTAAAATAATAAATAAAAACAATTGCAAAATATTTATCTAAAGTACATACTTTAACAAATATGTAGTGGGACTGACAACAATATTCCTCTGGTTTTCATGATGGTTAAAAATTGTAACACGAGTAGGTGAAAATGGATGATCGCAAAAATTCAGTAGATCCTCAATACTTTCCTTATTTTCAAATACATAATCATTATTAGCATTGCAAAATATACCATTTAATTATTACCAATAGTGTATACAATAAATTAACATGACATAACAAAATAATAAATAAAACTATTACATAATTTTATTGTTAAATAAGCAACACTTACTTTATTAAGATTGATATACTTTTGTAATCAAAATTATTTTCATTTCCAATAAATAAAACATCACTATTACAATTTGATATCTCAATAGGATATGTAGAAATACATTCAACGGATGACTT